TTAAATCTGAACTTGATTTGAATGTGTCTAAAGGCATTTTACTTACGCTTTTATTAGCAGAAAGGACAACAGATGACATGTTTTCTCCCCTTTGTCCATTCTCCACCCAAATAACACTCCTAGTAGGCTTTGATTTTTAAATATACTTGGCTTTCCTGAAAGCAGACTTTGGGTAAATTGGAAAGGAAGCATAAGGACCCTGGCTACTTTGGAACACATTTTAACTCCTAGACATGTTGCCCTATGGTGAGATACGAATATTTCTATTCTTTTCTCTAACACAATGCAGACACATGCAGATAATAATTTATCATTAATTATCATATCTTTTAAGAAACTCAATGACCACCATTGTCTGAGGAAGAAAACTTTTAGAGAGTTAGACTATGTCGAGATGATTTTTTTGTGTGTGTTCTGCCTTACCAAAAACATTTATGGATATTCTGAAATCCTAAATCTATCTCATTCAGATACATTGTGCAAATGTTTCATCTGAATGAAGATCATCACTCCTTTAAAAGAAATTTAATGATAACTCACTTGTCAGTCCTGGGTTTTAACATTCAGCTTTCCATCCCTTTAATAAAGAGAACTGCTGTATAAACTCTGGAAAAGAAGTAATCAAAAAACACCTAAATGACCCTATCGTAAATGCTCACCAATATTCCATTATTGGCAACTTAACTCTTACAGTGAAGACACTTTCTCATAGTGAAGTACAACATAATTCCTGTCAATCTATTTACAATCATTATTTTTCATTAATATTAGTCAAAGGATTGACTAATATTAGTACAGAGAATTAAATGTCTAAGTTATATAAAGGTTGAAAAACATTACAAGTCCAGAGGATAAACTAGAATTGAGAGTAAAAAATGAGAATGAGCCAAAATAGATAAAAATCCAATACAAAGAAAAATAAAAACTTCCCCTCAGAAAAGTCACCTTCTGAGAACTTACCCTGTGACTCTTCTCTTCTCTTGCAATTTTTCCAAAAACTAAAAAATCAGCTTTACAACATAAAAGATATTATGCAGGAGTGAACAAGTGAAAGAAGCAGCTCTGAACTTAAGGCAAGAAAGTACTGTCAGTGAATCTCGAGGTTTGTAAAATATGACAGAACAGTTGAAATTGTAAAATAGTGAATAAAAAAGCTCACCAAAGCAGTGCTTGATTTTTGGAGACACACACTTCAATACTTCTCAGAATTGAAGGCATCATCCTCTTTTGACTTTTGAGGATATCAAGTGATAGGATATAGTGTTTGGGAAATTTACAGCTACATAATTTGTTAATGCTTTTCCCACAAGTACACTGAATATGATCAGCCAGAGTCTGAAAATAAATGTTTCACTGGAGGTTATTCTGCCCAAGCATGACATTTTTACAAGTGGCAAAATTCTTGGAAAAATTGTTAGCTAATCAAAACCTGGTATTTTCAATACTAAAATGTAGTGTTGAGCCTCGAGGTTACATAACTAAACTTGTATACTGGAGGAATCAGATGTAGAAGTGTGCAGAACCTTTGATCAATACCTCTTCTTACAAAGCCTAAAATTTACTTAAATAAGAGCTGATGTTCTAAGAGGTCACAAAATGTTAAAATTCAAAATTTCTGGCATCATTTTCTTTTCATAAAATAAATAATTTCACTTCATTCTGATATTTTCTTAAAGACATATATGTCAGGCCCTCACTGGTGTGGCTCAGTGAACTGAGTGCTGGCCTGCAAACCAAAGGTTTGCTGGTTCAATTCCCAGTCAGGGCATATGCCTGGGTTGCCGGCCAGGTCACCAGTAGGGGGCGCATGAGGGGCAACCACACATTGATGTTTCTCTCTGTCTCTCTTTACCTTCTGTTCTCTCTATAAAAAAAAAAATAAATAAATAAATAAATAAATAAATAAACAAATAAAATCTTAAAAGGGGGGGAGGTTGGCTGGGATGGGAGTAAAAGACAGAAAACTGTACTTGAACAACAATTAAATTAAAAATAATTTATAAAAAGACATATGTCAGGACAAAGTAATCCATTTTTTCCATAAAGGTATTAGGTAAATTTAATGAGCTGAATTAAGTGTGGCTCTAAAAATGGGATTTTAAGATATTTAAAGTAGAACCAATTGGGTAAAATAGTCAAAACCCACAAAGTAAATATTTGGAATATATAATTATCATCTATATGTGTATGACTTGATCTATGATTCAGATCTTTTTAAAAAATAGAGCAGTGAGATAGTAGTCAATAGTTGAATTTCATATTTGAATTTAGCAGTTAACTTTTTATCTGTCAACATAAGTAGCTAATAAGATTAGAAAACTGCAGCACCTCCGATTACTGGAATCACTCCACCTTTGGTAAATTATCCTAGTAAGTCCATTAGAGGTCTTTCTACTTTTGGGGTTCCATTAAACTTTTCTTTACCAAATGTCTATAAAAATTCCTTTGCCTTCAATCACTAGCTGATTTTATGTAAGATATCTAAACAGTGTATGAAATGTTAATTTTAATTTTTTTCTATTCTAACCACTTTAATTGTCTGAAGACACACCAAAACAAAGAAACAAACAAACAAACAAACCAGTAAGAGGAAACTTGAGGCAGAAATTGAACATTATCTAATGGTATCAGTTCAGTTCGGGTAGTAAAATAACCCAGATGTTGTGTCCTGGTACTGTCAAAGGACTCACAAGCAAATACTTAAGTTTAACTCCCACAACATTCGTGGCACATTCAAGTCCCACTCCTAGTGCTCTCCTTTCACTCTCAAAATTGTGTGCCCAGTTCACATTCTTGTAGACCCGGGACAATTACATTTTTTCTGTCTTGGAGATCAGTGCAGAGAAGAGCATCAGATGTCACTCATCTCAAGTGGTCCGGTAAAGGCTCAGAAATGTCTGTCTCTTGTGTCTTCTGCAACACTTTTATTTTCTCAACCCGTTACAATGTTTTTCCACAGAAATATGCCTGATTCCCAACGTCATTAGTCTGACACTGCAATTTCTTTCTAAGAACCCCATTACCTTCTACGATAAATGAGAGTGTTGTGACCTCTGTTTTGCGAGACAATTCTCTGTAACCACTCCCCCACCAACACAAACACAAGAGGTGGGATGGGGTGGGGTCTAAAGAAGAGGAGGTAAAGGGGTCAGGAAAAAAGACTCACCGCTCCTGCAAGTTTCTCTGTCAGGCCGAACGTATCCAGGAGCAGCCACAACCTGAAATAGGAGGGAGGGTGAGTAACAAGGGATCTCTAGGCTCTGGGGTCCTGCGTCTGTCCATAGACCCCTGACCCCTTTTTGCTGCCTAACCCCACTTTCTCAGCAGTGACAAAAGTACAAGTGTATATAGTGCCTGTTCGGCAAAACTGCCCAAAGAAAGAAAGAAGAGCGGAGGTCGGGGTAGCAACAGCTCACCCAAGGTGCATTCTTGCCGCTCCTCCTGAGCTGGGTCCTAGGAGACTGCTCACCCACTCCGTGGCGGCTGGGGCTCATTTGGGCCCTGATGATACTTGGAGACTTTCTTATTCGGGAGTATGGCGGGGCAGGGTGGGGGGGCGAAGTGGCTCACTTCGGAGGTAACTGCACTCAGCTCCTAGATGAGAAGAACCCTGAAGGGAAGCACGCTCAGTGGTGCCCCCTACAATTTGCCACACTCAAAAGATAGTTCCATGCACCAGGAGAGGAAGGAATGGAGGGAACCGGGGCGGAGCTGTCTTCTGTCAATCATCCCCTTACCCTGGGCAGCCAGTTGTTATTTCTCGCTTTCAGGCACCTCTACACACAGCATTCCCACACATCTCCACAGCTTCAAGCACGGCCCATAGTTACTTATACTCTAAGATGTAAGCAATTATGCACCACACACTTCCATAAACCACTGTTAACTGTCACACATAATACATATATAGATTAAGGCACAGGACTTTTGTATAGACAAGTGAGCCTCAAGGTTCCCTTGCATGATTGTTCAAATATATACAACACTCATTCCAATGGATTGTATACCAAGCCCTTGGGAGTAGCGGAGTTGGTGCTGCTGCTGGTGGTGGTTTCTGGAGTTGTAAATCTACTGTAAACTGAGTAGAACCTAAGGATAAGTGGGATGCCATGAGATAGCTCTAAAGCCTTGAAAGACTCTAAAGTGGTAAATTCTAGGATTTGAGATAATAATGTCGTGAAGAATTCTTCAGTCAATCCTTGTAAGATCCTTCAGGTAGTCCACATCAAGTATTTTTCTGTACCTGTTGGTACTTTAAAAACATGTATATATCAAAACTATGAAAGTAATGTTCAGGTAACTGACATAAACTCAAAGTAAATATTTCCCATTAGGTGTTTGTGTTACTTTTAAAAAAATGTACGATAACTATTTAAGTGTCCGTCCAAAATCCCTCTGAAACACAATTGCAATGAAAGTAACTTTTATTTTAGTTCATTATAAGAGATAAATATTAATTATGGCATTCAGTGTAGCTAAATAAAAAGGTATGACTTTATTACAATAGCATTCAATCATATAATAATTACTAATACCTACTGAATTCTACCAAATGCCATATGTATATATCCTGCGGTAAAGTCACTTTCTTAATTCTTTGGTTATAAGTATTATTTACTTATACAAATATATTTATATATTTCTATTATTTTCACATATTCTGTTGTATGTAGAAAGTCCCGTAAGCAGGTGGTAGAGAAAGAACACCAGCAGTCTAAGGAGCGGTGATTAAAATTTGTTTCTAATCATTAACAATAAAAATGTCCGTTCTCCTAGAGATCCATCCGCTAAAAAATAGTCCCAGCTCAGGTCTATTTGTAATCGGTTGGGATGCTTACACCAATGAGAGGGGGACTGTGCAGGGAAGAGTAGTACTAACGGAAGGTGCGAGTGAACAAACAGGGAAGCTTCCAGGTTGCACGGTGCTCAGTCATCTGGTCTGGAAGATTCCCTTCGCCAAATAACTGAGCTTCACTCCCTCACAGGTTGCTGGTGCAGTCTAAAGCTGTGGCGGAGTAATCCTCTAAATGCCCAGTAGTGGTGGGCAAGGGGGCGGTGCAGAAGAAAAGAGGAGGAAGGTAGATTTGTGGCATTTGCGTGAGGGAAAAGTTTGCAAGTCTGGACAGAAAAGTGCTCTAGAGAGACTGGCTTTGGGGGCAGGGGTAGGGGGTGGAGAAAAGAATTGCTGCTGCTGCTCTTTTCTTCCTCTTCACTGTAAAAAAGCTTTCTCCACACCCAAACCGACATGCATAATTGGCGAACCCTCGCTGTACTTCTCTGGCTCTAGCTTTCCTCCAATAACCCCTCAAGATTATGTCAATTGGTCAGAGCCAGTCAGGGATTTCCTGTGGGTGCTGAAGGAGCTGCGGCAGCATGAGAATGAAACGGAGTGGAGTCGGCCAGGCTGCAGGCTTGTTCTTATTGGCTCTGAGTCTTTGGGGGTACCCAGCAGAAGCTGCGGTAAGTCCTTCCTTCTTACCCCCACCCCCACTCCCACCCCCACCCCATCACCTCGCTCAAACTGAAATCATTTTTTTTGGTCCCTTTTCCTTCCTTTATCTTAGGCCTTGGCTAGGGAGTTCAAATTTGCCTTCACTTGTTTAGGAAGAAATATTTCAATTTAATGTTGGTAACTCAAGCCTTAAATTCAATGGAGAGGTTTAAATGTTTCAAAACAGGACTGCTTGCTTTCCTGCAGCTAGTTGCTGAGCAGACTACAGTAGAGCATGGGGTGGGGGAACTGAAACTAATAAATCACTAGTCTCTGGTGGGTATTTAAAACTTTTTCTCCCCACCTTTTCCCCTCGGGTGTTTCCCTTCCTGCCGGCCTTCCGGCTAACTTTTTCTCAAGTTGTACCCAATGCACTCACTTTTAAACTTTGTTTGTAGTTTGATATTTTGGCTTTTCTAATTTCGAGTTTCCATTAAAGCGTTAAAGGTGCCCATGAAGTTCTTCCCTTCTCCCCTTAAGCAACTCGAACCTACCCTCTCCTGTGGTCAGTAAAGCCTCTCTAACACACTGTGCCATCCTGGCCATCCTTGTTGCAAATGCTCAGGTACAAAAGAATGGAGAGGATGACCTTAGGCTTTGGATCTTCGGCGTTTTTTTTAAAGTTCTGGGTTTGTTGTTTACTTTTGTTTTTAAAACTTACTAAGACACCTGAACAAATTGAGAAATTTTCCATCACCTGTTTAAAGGAAAATAGTTGTCTTTTTTCAAAGGAAAATGAGTGCTCTTATTCAAAGGAGAGTGGAGGAGGATGCACTTGTGAAATGACAGAGCAAAAATTTCCACTCTGTTTTAGGAATGTAGGATTAAAACCTCCATAAATCTCCTAGGCAGGTATCCGGGCAGTCCCACCTAGTATTCTATGGTTGAGAGGCAGATGTAAGGGAATCAATGGCTTTGCCAGAGAAAATGTTCTCAACCCTAAAGCCCATCATCCTTAGTTTCATTTACCTCTAACAAGTTTAGAAAGTAAAATAGCTCTGTAAGAATATTCAAGAAACTAATAAGATGGATCGCCTGGGGGAGGGGAAGTGGATGGTTTTGGAATAAAAATTTGAAGAGAAAAAGAATTGTGCATTAAATTATTTCAAAGTTATATTTGAATTATCTTAATAGTTGATTTTAAAACCACTTCAGTATGAGATCATGTCTTAGGCCTTTACATGGTTGAGTAACTATCAGTGATTTACATGTTATAGTTTATCTGAGTTCACTTTATTTCTTTAACTTTTAAAAAGTTATTTTATTGTTGTTCAAGTACAGTTGTTTGCAGTTACTTCCCACTTTCAGTTAGCTGTCTAGCTTCTCTCTGCACTTAAGATGCCACAGATTACATTGCCCTCCTTCTATCTTCCAGAAAGTATGTGCTCATGATAGCACATCTGCTGAAAAGCCATGCATGTAAAATATTTTAATTACACTTGCCATAATTTTTCCTCCATCAAAGTAGATAGATGACTTAAATTTGCTTTTTTGATTTAGAGTATCTTAATGAGATAAGGTTTACACACTCCATATTCCTACAGACTCTTGGATAAAAGTGCACTTGTGTTGTTGAAAATAGTTACTTCTAAAAACATCTAGGTGCTTATTGCTTATGGTATTTGGCCCAGGGGCAAAGATTTCACAGATACTTGATTTAATATTTCAATTTTCTTTTGATATTGCTATTAATAAATGTTTACCAGGTACCAATCATATAGGTGTGTACAGCAATACTCTATATACATCAATTTATATTAAATCAAATTGTTTAAAAATATTTTTTGGGGGGAGTAAGCCTAATTTCTTGGAACCGTTAAAAATTAAGTGTTCATGAGGAACTTACAGAAGACAGCATGAAGTTTTTTTTTCCTTTTTTCTCCTGTGTAATTTTTTACAGAACATTTTATATTACATTTCTATATCATTAGGATATTGTGCCTTTAATAAAAGTGTTCTTTCTGCTTTATGCATCAATGTCATAGTTAGATGAATGTTTTATTCATCTCAAAGATATGAATGGTATCTGCTCTCCATACTAGTGCTGGGGATATTGGTGTCCTCTAGAGGAAACTGGATGGTAGTGGAGCTGGTTGTTGACTGAAGTCTAGTATTGGGACTTGTATATCAGGAAGAGCAGTGCTACTTAAATTGCTTTAATTTTTCACAGTTAAGTGATTTTTTTAAATCTCTGAAGCCATGCCAAATTGAGATGTTACAAATTTGTGGAAGTTTTTTTTTTTTTTAAGGTAAGGTGTATATTAGTATTAGATGGGATAAAATATCCCATATGCCAACAGGTTAGCAGTAAGAGAAATAGGCAGCTTTAGGTTGGAAAAGTCATTTCTAGTGATGGAAATAATGTATTTTTAAAGGTGATTACCTGTACTAACACTTGCAGTAGTATATGCACTCCTACTTTGTGCATATGGCCTATAAAATTACACTATTCCTACTGTTCAGATGTTAGTAAGTTTATTGTGCGTATGTGTGTGGTCAGTAGAGTAGATAATTTTCTCTAAATGCACTATTCCCTTGCGTTCAGAGGCAATAACTCATTCAAGGCTGTAGTGTGGTTCACAGCCATGGAATAAACTTTCCTCTATGAAGTATACTGCTCCATAGGAAGAATTTGTCAATATTGTTATAACTTATTTTTTTGAGTGCTTACTATGTGCCAGGCACTGTGCTGATATGGTGATATACATGATCATATTTAATTTTCACCAAAAAATCTATAAGGTATATGCCATTGACATCTCCACTTTATAGATCAAGAAGCTATAGATCATAGAGGTTAAGTAACTTGCTGAAAATCACCTAGCTAATACATTGTGGAGCTGGATATTTGAATCCAGGCAGTTTGATGTCAGTTTCTTTGCCTGTAACAACTGTCCTATACTGCCTCCATTGTATGTGTTCTATAGAGATTTATTTGCTGTTTAGAGTATTTTAATTTCTGCTACTTTTTGGGGGTAGGGGTGGGGCAGACACAGGAGGTAGAAAGGAAATGATAAAATGGGGATTACATCTCTTCCAGCTGATGTTAGAAGTGGCATGGTATAATGGAAATAGCTTTGGGCTTAGAATAAAAATATTAGAGTTTGATCTCTATATATATGTGTATATATAGAGAGATAATTTTAAAACAACCTAGAAACAACTTTAATTTGTGGTAGATGGTTATTTTGAAGAATGATTTGCCTTATTCTTTTAATTACTCAGTTTTCATAAAAAATTTAAATATACTGAACTTTTCAGGTGTATGTCCATTGTGATGAAACAGGATATGTTTTGTTAAGATGTCCATTCATTTTGTTGCTTTTATCAACCAATCATATCTAATTCTATTCACTCAACCATCTCTATATAGTTTTGTGTGTATATTTACATATGTATCTGTTCTGTGATTATGTAAGAGAGTACATAATTTGGCTTTTGATTCTCTATATGCAACACATGAAACTCTTTACCTTGAGTTAGCAGTGGTAACTTGGTTAAGGTTGTGTCTGCCAGGTTTATCCACTGTAAAGTCATTTATTTTCCCTTTGTAATTACAAAGTGAGTGGATTTTGTGGACTATATGAGCAATATTGTGAGACAAGGTAAACATCCTGTTTCACCAAGCTTTGCCTGGTAATTTTAAGATCTGTTGAGGATTCTGGCCTGAATAATTATTACTGTGATATTTGCCAAATGTTGATTTTGAGTTTTCAACATTTTCTGCATTTTTTAAAGTATATTTTATTGATTATACTATTATAGTTTTCCTATTTCTCTCCCCTTTATTCCCCTCTGCCCAGCAACCTCCCTCCCATCAGCATTCTCCTGTTAGTTCATGACCATGGGTTGTACGTATAAGTTCTTTGGCTTCTCTGTTTCCCACACTATTCTCGACCTCCCCGTTTTATTTTTTTTAACTATAATTTATGCTTTTTATTCACTACACGTTTTCCCACATTCTCCCACACCTCTCCCGGATGATAACCCTCCATGTGATCTCCATTTCTGTGATTCTTTCCTCTTCTGGTTGTTTGCTTAGTTTGTTTCTGTTTTCATTGTTGTTTTTTAGGTTCAGTTGTTGATAGCTTGAGTTTGCTGTCATTTTACTGTTCATATTTTTGATCATCGTCTTTTTAGATGAGTCCCTTTAACCTTTCATATAATAAGGGTTTGATGATGATGAACTCTTTTAACTTGACCTTATCTGAGAATTACTTTGTTTGCCCTTCCTTTCTAAATGAAAGCTTTCCTGAATAGAGTAATCTTGGATGTAGGTCCTTGCCTTTCATGACTTCAAATACTTGTTTCTAGCTCCTTCTTGCCTGCAAGGTTTCTTTTGAGAAGTCAGCTGATAGTCTTGTGGAAACTCCTTTGTATGTAACTGTCTTCTTTTCTCTTGCTGCTTTTAAGATTCTCTCTTTTATCTTTAATCTTGGGTAATATCATTATCATGTGCTTTGCTGTGTGTTTCCTTGGGTCCACCTTTTTTGGGACTCTCTGAGCTTTCTGGAATTCATGAAGTCTTTTTCCTTTGCCAGATTAAGGAAGTTCTCCTTCATTATTTTTTCAAATAGATTTTCAATTTTTTGCTCTTCTTCTGATGCTCTTGTGATTCAGATGTTGGGATGTGGCATGTTTAGAGTTGTCCTGGAGGTTAAGCCTCTTCTCATTTATTTTTGAATTCTTGTTTCTTCATTCTGTTCTGTTTGAATGTTTATTTCTTCCTTCTGCTCCAAATCATTGATTTGAGTCCCAGTGTCCTTCCCTTCACTCTTGGTTCTCTGTATATCTTTATTTCACTTTGTATAACCTTCAGTTTTTCCTCTATTTCTGTGAGCATCCTGATTACCAGTGTTTTGAACTCTGCATCTGATAGGTTGGCTCTCTCTTCATTCATTTGTTATAATTTTGGAGTTTTCATCTGTTCTTTAATTTGGACCATATTTCTTTGTTTTGGTGCACCTGT